TACAAAGAGAGACTCAAAAGGAGCGAATGCAGATTCCTTGGGAGTTAGGTCTGGACTCTGGCCGTCTGGAGTCATTCCGGATCTTTTACCCACAAATTCTTCCCATATCCCTACTCATAACACACTTATTCCCAATACATGTATGTCTGTAGTGTCGTGTGGATAGAGAGATGTGAGTGGGAATGGTTTGTGGATAGGAGATTCGAGCTCATATACCATTCATAGATGAATTGGGATTTGCTCCTCACAGAGTGCGGCTAAAACACATTTCCCATGAATAATAATATGATGTGCGGCTAAAACATGCAGTGAGGCCAATGTGAGGAGTGCCCTGTAAGGACCAGATCTAGATTCTCCATAAATGTGTTATACGGTGATAGAATTCCCTGCAAATAAAAACCTGCTCACATTCAGAACATTTCTCCCATGAATTTGAATCAAACCACATATTGAGGACCTCTCTCATGAATTTAACATACATATCAGATCTAGATTCTCCATAAATGTGTTATACGGTGATAGAATTCCCTGCAAATAAAAACCTGCHCACATTCAGAACATTTCTCCCATGAATTTGAATCAAACCACATATTGAGGACATCTCTCATGAATTTAACATATATATGGGAGCAAGGTGCCAATAAGTGGGTTGGTAAGGTCTCCTGCTGGCCATAGTGGAGATTTGGGATGGAATCCCGCCTGCACATGGGTTGGGGATGGGCTACCCTCTGTTGTGTAGCCCTTCAAAAGAAATCGAAGAAAAAACATGTATAGGAAGTTCATAACCTTGTAACTTGCCCTATGTTTTATTACTTCCATTCAGCACTAACCTATTCATGGGGCTTTGCCTCTACATTAACAGAATATGCTCAGGCCCAAGCTTGAGCCTGGCCCAATCATCAGGCCTAGGTCTTGAGATCGAGCCCGGCCAAAAATTTGGAAAAAAGATTTTTTTCCTTTTTTATTCAATTAAAAACTATTTTATTTATATTAAAAGACCTCAAAACCTAACAAAATAATGAAAGATCTCACTATTACTAGAAAAAAGAGAAGAAAAATAAAAAAAGTACTATATATATTATATTTTTATTATATAAAATATATTTTTATTATATAATATATTATCAAGAAAAGTCCTAACTCGAGCCTGTGGGCCTGAAATCTTATCCAAGCCTGACTTAAATCGAACCAGGTCAGACTGGCCCTTTGGGCTACCTGGCCCATGAGAAACTGAAATGATGCAAGGTACCAACCAGCTGGTTGATAAGTCTCCTGCTGATAGAGAGACTTGGACGGAATCCCACCCAGGGTTAGAGAGGGGGGGGGGTGTTATGGGGTTTTCACTACTGTATGGTGCAGCGTAGGCTGCATCCGGTAGATCATAATCTACCCACATGAAGAGAGGAAGCATGGGCAACATGGCTGGTTTTGATTGCTCCGCGCAGCCTTCGCAGTTATGCTGCATCATCTTTACAATGAAAGTGAACTCCAACTTGAAGTCCTTTTCATTAAAAGAAACTTGCCACTTGTCGTTTTGTCCATGTTTCTTGTGGCAAACTGTGGGACCCTATACCTATAGAGAAAGTCCTTTTGTCTCAGGAGCCTAGATTCCGCCTTTCTGAGACAATCAAATAAAACCCATTTGACATACCCACATAACCTATTCTTATTTCATCTTGATCTACGTGGATTGAATGTAGTATACTACTGCTCTTGTCAACTTCCATATCAGTGCTACTCACTTTTCAGGAAGTGATTTTGCCAGGAAAAGTAAAGGCCTCATGGCCCCACAAGATGGAAGGTTGATTTATCTTCATCTCAGGACATATGGGGGCCCAAGAAAAGAGCAGAACCACCTGCTAAGAGCTAACATTTGGTGATGAGCTCCACCTTTGGAGATTGATCTGGTGGTTATCATCCCATCTGTTGGCTTCTCTCTGCAACTCCTATCCATCCTAATAGCCCACTTCTACTCATGTGGGGTCTGCTTTCCTTCTCTCTTATGTGATCAGTCAATTGGATATGATGGATCAGCTCTTATGGGCCCAAGAAGCTTTTCCTTGGGCACTAGATCTTTGTAGGTCCCATTCCCTTCCACAACGTTCTGGTAGGATGATGATATCTAATCTTTTCATTCTTCTCGTTGGGAGAGAGAATCTAACAAAAGTATCACTGGATTTCTCCAATCTGTTCAAAGGGAAACATAAACAGACACCAAGAGGAATCTGGTGGGCTTCATGTATCTATTTGCTTGTCTTTGATCTTTGACGAGGGGTAATTTGGCCCGCCGTGTTAGCACGGAGACATGTGGAGCGACTTGATGATTGAACTATAATTCAATGCTTTCTAATACCTTAGTTGACTAGATCAGCTCAGGTATCTCGGAAACCTCAGTCAAGATTGAGGTCTGAATAGTTTGTGGTATCCCAACCTGTCAAGGTGCCACATAGCCCATTTCTAAAAGCTAACCGGCTGTCTCTAACATTTCCGGGATCACACCACACATCAACAAAGTCTCATCCTTATCCCACCTGGATCGGACGGACTCAATAAGCCTTATTAGCTCATATGAAATCTATCTCCGGATGCGAAATGGACTCTGAGTAACGCCGACTGGAGATTTCAGATAAGTTTCCTGAAGCCTACGACAACTCACCTATATAAGAGCATTACCACCAACCTCAAAAGGTACGTACAATTTAGGTCTCTAACTCTCTACTCACAAGAAATTTAGTCCGCAACATATTCTTTGCTAATTTAATCACCGGGTAAAACACCCCAAATCCTCTGATAATATTTTCTTGCAGTTCAACCGATCATGTAAGCAAATCGAAGTCCGAACTGCCATCTGGTAGGAAGTAACCAGATCACGCACTATCAACCCTTAAGCTGGTATAGCCGTTTGATTGGATTTGATATGAAAATTGCCCTAGTAAAGGTAATGTGGCAGTGGACCCAATTAACAGGTTGGCGATTCCCCGTCAGATCATGTTGCCACGTGGACGATTCCTTGTGTATCACCAGCAGACAGACAGATCCGGTTAGTGTACAGGCCCTTCAAGGAAGCCAATAATTCTCGTCATAGACAACCTATAAACAATTATTCGTTAAATTACACCCTTTTCAACTTTATACCTCCCCAACGATTCATTCATCTCCGACACCCCGTTTTGTCCTCGCCCTTCGGAATGGAAAATAGACCAGAGAGAGATAGAGCTCTGGTCCTTCTGGAAGGGTGGACCCCACATGATGTATAATATAAGGTTTTACTAATTACGATATTATAATCCATGCACTAAATAATAAAATAGCAAGTGGGAGGTGGGGGGGAGAGGACATGCACGTGCGACAAGGAAGATTTAACTCGATTAGGATGCCAAAGATCATGTGCACGTGCCTAGAGTCAAAGGTCAAAAGCTGTGATCAAAGGTGTCTCGTGGGGCTCTACTGTACAAGACAAGAGCGATTCTGATTTCTTTAATACTGAGAGAAGTTTTGAAAAAGGAAGGAATCCAGACTCCGGAGAGTCCCCTGCCTTAAGTTTCCTATGCTTCCTATAATTCTCTCCATCTTTCTTATCTCTATCTCACTACTCACTACTCACTCACCAGAGACGAGACCAAGTGGTTACGTATAAAGAGAGAATGATCATAGATACTGGACGCCCATGTTACCCTACCCACACTCTATAATGTCCACGTTTCACAATCTAGTAAGCCCATTTACCTACATCCCCCTAGTGGGCCCACCTCACCCCATAATTCAACCCCCTCCCCCTATGTTTCACATTTCCTCTCTCTCTCTCTGCATTCAGAAGAGTTCATAACTAAATAATAAACTGAGAGAATTATAGAGACCACAATGTAGAAAAGGAAAAACCTCTGCCACCCCAACCAACAATGTGGAACTCTGGGCTTTATTTTGCAGTAGGGAGAGATGAAGTCATATGTAGGACCGAAAGCCCAAATCCACCAACTGACGTGCATGCACCTCCGCTTAACACATTAGCTAAGGTATCTGGAAGAGGCGGCGTCTTCACTACCAACCAAACAAGTCCTTTAGCTCGTTGCCACGTGGGAATTTCTCAGCCGTACGCGTTTCCAAGCTCGGCCCATTAAAAAAAAAACCCTAGTTCATGCAAACAGAGATCAGGAGGGAGATACTTTCGTTTCATAGAATTCATACTGCTACAACATTTCTGACAATGCAATTGTATCCCGATGACGAAACTAACCCTCCGAAACAACGAAATGGCGAAAGGGGGACGAGCAGGAGCTCATGATTTTTGGGGCACTTTTGGCCGAAAAGGACAGGGCTGTAATTTTCGTAGTGGGGCTGTGGGCGGGAAAGGCGGGCACTCGGTTCCCGGTTTTTTGGGTCGCCGGTCTGATTCCGGCACTACAATCCAACCTGACGTCGCTCCTCCCTATTTCCGGACAACAAACTGGTTCGAGTCTCCTCCGCCTTTGCCGTACCCAGTGGGTGCACAACTCAAAGCAGAACTCATGAAATGACCAACATGCCCCTCCCATCTCCCGTCTTATTTGAAAAAAACCAACTTTTCTCTCGCCGACGTGTCATATTACGCTCTTTTTAGTTTTTCTCCTTTCCGCTCGGCTCCGCCCATTTGTACCACAATCAACAGTGCTTCCATCATCGACGATGCCCGGCTGTACCCGATGATTATTATTCGGAAGGTTGATCTGACGGTTCTGATCCCGTCCTATCCATCCTCTGTGGAGCTTAGTTTCTACTTAACCTGATTTTGAAACGGGACCCACTCGGCTGGTTCGTTCTGTCTGTGTCTGATTTAACAGATTAAAGGAGGGGGATGTACTTGAGAGATTGATACTATACAACTTCCTACCATTTACGTTTTTTTTTTTATTATTGGGTTCGTTCAAAAGTGTAGTTTTCAGAAGAGAACGAGGACAGTATCGTCATTTGAAAATGACAGGAAAAGGTTGTTTACTCGTTTGAACCGGTATGAAAACGCAGTGGGTCGTAAAAACAGTGAAAGAGAAGGTGAGAAACCCCCACTCTTTCAGCCCGCCGCCCGATCCTCCGCGACGTTGTTTCTCAGACAAATTTTCTTCACTGCACAATGATGGAATTGACGATGATAGATGATTGATGATAGCGATGATCTGTAAAACAACACCCCACAAAAATACATAAAATAAAATAAAAATCTTCTCTCTCTATCCTCTCTCTCTCTCTCTATCAGATAGACAGATACTAGTTGGGTCCATTGATGTATGTTTGTGGGGCAGAAGAAACCGCAAAACCCTCCCGTTAAAACCCTACCACCTGGTGATGATTCAGGTCTTCTTGAAAGCGTCTCGCTCTCCCGTCTTTTCCATCTGAAACTACGAACCCCGACTGTACGTTTTCTATTTACTCCTCCTCCTACTACTAGTCTCTGTCTTTGTCGTGTGTATTCCATTCTCTCTTCAGTCTTCTTACTCACCGATTCTTGTTTTTACTTGTTATCATTACTTCTCTCGTCTCGACCAATCCTGGGTTGGGCTTAATTTCTATTATCTTACTTGTATTGCTTTTGCTTTCTTCTTTGAGAGCCTTCTCTTCATTTGCATGTATAGTGTTGGTTTCTGATACTCCGATTTGCAGAAATAGGTGATCGGATTCGTTTCGTGTAGTTCTTGGGTTTGGCGTTTATTAAATGTTGTTTCTTTGAGGTTTGTTTGATTGCTCCAACAAGGCTAATAAGCTGCTCGAAAGGGAAACTCGGAAGATAGATTCGCGTTTCTGACGGTGTCGAGCAGCCCAGAAATGGAGAGTATGGGAAATGGTTAATAAGGTAGTATTTGGGTGATATTCTCCGTTTTATTTAATTCATTTTTTTTTTTCAGTCTTCACCACTAGTCCACTACAAAAAACTCAAGGCCGTTTGGTGGTCGATCGTTTTTTAGGTTTTTTTTGAGCTTCGTGTAGATATCACAGAGAAGCAATGGCGCCGGCTGATAGCAGGCTTTCTTTTTCTCTCTCTCCTTTGGAGATGCTACCCTCTTGTCAGTCTCTGATGCTACCGACGAAACTCATGCCATACGAGAGCTCATCCGACTCTTTCCACCATCACTTCTTCTTTGATAGCTACGACGGAAACGGTACAGTCTTCGACTTCAAATTTCAAAACCTTAAAATGATTGATTGATCGTTCAAATGGAGTTCGCGTAACAGTCTGGAATCATTAGTACTTAATGGCCGGAGTGACTAATCTCTCCGTTTTTCCGCTACTTTTGTTGCAGACTGGACATGCTTGAAGACACAGATACCTTCCTATGCAGAAGAGACTAAAGAAGTGAAAGCACTTAGCATTGCCGACGCGTCCATCCTCGCGAGCTTCAACCCTCCTGTTCAACAAACAGTACCAAAGCTCGAAGACTTTCTGGGCGGTCATTCTTCGTCCTTGGCCCGATACTCCGACAGCCAGACAGAGACTCAGGAATCATCTCTGACCAACGTTTACGAACAAGGTTCCTCGACTCTATTCGGGGACCATCGGCAGCAGCAGCAACACTATAACCTCAGAACAACCATGGCTGCAACTGGGTTCCAACACTCCTTTTCAGCTAATTCTGGCTCGGAGGTTGAGGATTCCATTTCAGTGAACGAGACCCAGTTGAGAGAGTTTCCTGCACGCTCACTCGAAATGGGAAGCGAGTTGGTGTACTCGGAGGCACCGCCTCAGTCTTTGTCATTGGTGGCTGTCAAGAGCTCGGCGAAGAAAGATATCGTATTGGCCGAGTCGGAATCGTCCAAGAAGGTAGCAGATACGTTCGGACAGAGAACATCGGTCTACAGAGGGGTCACAAGGTAAGTTGTTTGAACCTGGAGATTTTGCTCTGAAAACCGATATGTATCGCATTCTGATTTCTCATACTCGTTTGCTCTGTGTGTGTATGGTGGATGCAGACACAGGTGGACCGGGAGATACGAAGCACATCTGTGGGATAACAGCTGCAGAAGAGAAGGGCAAACCAGGAAAGGACGTCAAGGTAAAACATTGAAATACTTTCCATTTAGTCGGTTCCATTCAAATTTCAGAGCTTTCCCGACTGTATAGAGTCAGTCGTTTCAGAGCTCAGACATTTCTTTGCCGGAATGGGGTTCTATCTTCTTCTTCATGAGGCCGCCATTTTGTTAATGTGATGTTTGACGGGACTGCCGTGAGTCTCTTTCTCTTCCTCCTCCCTGGCTTCCTGGCATGCTTGCTCAGTCGAGACGTTTACTTTTTAATGAAGGACAAGAAAATCTCCCTAAATTTTCTGACTTTAAATACTTGACATGACAACCTCTGAGCTGTAAACATCAAAGCGCATGATCTCTACCCCCCCCCTCTCTCTCTCTCTCTCTCTCTCTCGTCCTCTCTTTACGCATCTGTCCTCCTTTCTGTGTTTCTGCACTTGAGGTTCCGATGTCAATGGATTTTTTACTTGGCGGTTCTACATTCATCCCCAGCTCTGTTTTCTTTTATGAATATCGTTTCTCGTCCACAGAATCGTAAGCATTGTTTCCTGATTACTAGAAATGGAGTTTTTTTTTTAACCTCACTAAGTCACCTTTCACCTCGTCGTCATGAATATAACAAGGGTCGCTTGTCAACTCGAGGACGTTCTTGCTTTGGAATCCGAAACATCTTTGACTATATTGAAAGTGAACTTCTTGCTCTGTAACTCGCCTGAGATTTCTTATTGCTCACAAAAAGTCTGAAACTCGAATGGTGCAATTTGTTATTTGTTTGCCATACATTTTCTTCAATGAGGCGGTCTGTAGTCGCAGGTGTATGCACTGATAGCTTGAGTAGTGCCACCCGCGAGTTTCGATGGCATTCCCCCTTTTATAAACAATGACAAACAGAATCTGATAAAAATTATCACGTGGAATGAAATTTGTACTTGTTTTTGTTTCTCTTTTCCCGTTTCTCTTGTTGTTTTCCCCCTTCTGAAGGGGAGTCTCTCAGAAAGCAGTAGTAGAGTAGAAATTGCAGACTCCCTTTCTCTCTCTCTTGGCTGATGAAGACATTTTTTGCTTGGTTCTTTTTCCATGAACATGGGTCCTTGCTGTCACTCAACGCTGGATGGATATTGTTGTTCAGTGTACTTGGGTAAGTTAGTTTTCTTCTCTCTCCTACTCCATTACATAGCATATCTCAATCACCATATTAATGGAGAAAAAAAAAACATTTTCCAGTTTAGAGTGTTTCTGGTAATGCTGCAGGTTTCCAAGTTCTTCTGCACTAAAGAAAGCTAATTTTGTGCTTTCATGTCAAGTTGTCAACCCCCACAACAATAGACTGCGTTTCTGGGAATTAACCCAGAAATTTCAAAATACAGAACTTGGAAACAAACAGAACCTTAACAGAAACATGCTTTGAAGGTTGGTGGGTTGGATTTTCTTGGCTTTTCAAGTTCGACAGCCTGGGTTAAGTCTTACATTTTTGTGTATACCTCTCTTATGGTACCAAGTTTCAGATTTTGAACCCAGTTGCCTGTTTTTCTCTACTGTAGTGTGAGCTGATGACTGGGTTCAAATGAATTAAAGAATTTTATTCATTTCCCACATGACCAACCAATCTGGGTACAAGTAAAACCCAGAAGCCTGCAAAATGTTAGGGTTTTCTGTATTGACAATGACGTCAGTGATAATAATAAATAATGTGATTCTTTTTATCATATGATCAGGTGGGTATGACAAGGAAGAGAAAGCTGCCCGGGCTTATGATCTCGCTGCTCTAAAATATTGGGGTCCCACTGCCACCATCAATTTTCCGGTACTGTAATTTGTAGTGTCTTCTTTTCTTCTCTCTGGACGATCTGTCTCCATGAGAACTACCATTCATTTAAAGTTAGTACTTTCTGTTTCATAGATTTCGGACTATACCAAAGAATTGGAGGACATGAAGAATATGTCTAGGCAGGAGTTCATTGCATCACTCAGAAGGTTATTATTCCCCAACCATTCTTTAAATCTTACAACCCACCCAGTTTTTCCGTGATTAAAAGAATTTTAATTTAGAAACGAGTACTGTGTCTCACATTCGTCATTCCAACTATTATTTTCAGAAAAAGCAGTGGTTTTTCTAGGGGAGCTTCTATTTACAGAGGTGTCACAAGGTAAGACCCAGATGATCAATTTATCAAATCGTTCTCGTCTGTTTAAATTCTTCATGGAGTGGGCGCTGTATCTCAGCCTTGTCATAATTTGCAGGCACCACCAACAGGGACGATGGCAAGCGAGGATCGGTCGTGTTGCAGGAAACAAAGATCTCTATCTTGGGACATTTGGTAATAAATTAATATTGTCGATTATTAGTTGGTTTAGATTGATTGATTTATTAGAGTAAATAGCTATGGCCATGAAACTTCCCACAAAGATTGCTGACTGCATCAGGAACCGAGGAGGAAGCAGCAGAAGCATATGATATAGCAGCAATAAAGTTCAGGGGAGTGAACGCAGTGACCAACTTCGAGATGAGCCGTTACGATATAGAAGCCATTACCAACAGCGCACTCCCCATTGGTGGTGCAGCCAAACGCCTCAAGTTCTCTCTTGAAGCTTCACCTGATCAGAACTTGGACCGTGATCCTCAAGATAGGCAACCTCCGTCCAGCAGTAGCAGCGGCAGCGGCAGCATCGGCTCCCTGAGCATGGTTCCTACTGTCACGTGTGGTTTACCAGTAGATGCCCAGTCAAGTCTGTACCAACAGAATCTCATTCACCACCTTCACGCCGGTGCAGGCAGCACATTGGATTTCTCTGCATCATCAGCCCCTGCCTTCTCCCCTGTCGTTACACCATTGGCACTGCTACCGCCGACGTCTGAGTTTTGTGGCCGGAAATTCTTTTACGGCCTAAGTGCGCCGGTTAACATCAGTAACCACTTCAATGTCACCCACAGCAACCGAGCCGTTAATCAGCAGCCCTGGAATGTGGCGCCCTCCTCAAACTGACCGACGCTTGATCTTTTGGTCTTATTTCATCATGACTTGTTACATACTTGCAGAGTAACACACTAACCGCTGGCGCACAGGTCCTGTGTTTTATGTGGATTCATGAACGAAGGCGACGAAAGCTTGGGTTGCACGGCAACACAGGGCATGGATAGTAAGTTTATGCATGTTGAAATTTATATTTGACGGTGGTTCTTTTTTGTTTTGTTCGCCGGAGGAAGCGGTGGGGCGGCTGTACTTCCGTTCTCCTGCGTCTAGTCGATTTCTTTACTTTTCAAGAAAGGAAACGTTTTTTATTGCTCAACTGACTCCGCATACAGGAAAAAAAGCTGGCGTAATGACTTGTTCTTGTTCTTGTTCGTTCATGCGGCCGGAAAGTGATTACTATCGGAGTTCCCCTTTTTTTTTGTTTTTTTTTTTATCTTTTTTCAATCAAATCTCCACGGAATAGAATTAATGGTTGTCCTTTTGGGTGGCGGAATAGGAGCTTGGAATTGGAATGACCCATTTTCATTCTATCTGTTAAGTTGATGAGAATGGGATTCCCATTTTTCTTTTAGGTGGAATGACGTTCTTGCTTATGCCATTACTATTCTGGCTCCTTCGGGAATGTGATTCCCATATTCATCTCTTTTTGTTTTGATAAAAAAACCCTTCTTTCCCTACTTGACCCCAAAGTCTTGGTACCTTGATCCAAGGTAGTTGTCAAGATAGCCCTTAACTCTATTGCCCTATTTGACCCTGGGTGTTTAAAACTGGGCCAGGTTGACAGTTGGACCACCTGGGTCAGTTGTTCATTGATTAAATCAATGGTTTTTGAACAAAAAAAAAAATGGTTTTGGGGTGAAACAGAATTGGCCTGACCGGATTTTGATTTTTTTGCTCCGACCATCTGATCTTGAAAACATGGGTTCCTGGTTGCTGGTCGATTGTTGCTCTTTCCTTATTTCTCCTCTCATCATTCCCTCTTCCTCAGTCCTCACTGTCGCCACCACCATTGCGACTATTGCTAGCAGTTGGTATTAGGCGATTTCAATTCCTATTCCGATTTCAATCCCGACCACAAACCAAAAGGACCCTAAAATATGGAACCAAGTTTTATCTTTCTCCCAAAGCCCTTGATCGTTTTAAAAAAAAACTCCATTGATATGATCTAGTGCCCGTTTGGTGAGAAGGCTTTTGGCATGCAGCTAGCATTCTAAACTGCACCCTACACAGAAATCTCTGAATAACTTGTCAGTGCTCAACCAAAGCGGTTCAGTTAAACGCAGGTCATCCCAAACTCGGCCCTATGGAAAGTTATTCAGAGTATCCGAACTTCAGCCTATCCACCATGTCTCTTTCTTCTACGTTAAGAGAAGGTTGGGCTAAGCCTATAAGAGTCGGTCCTATGGAAAGCGCACTTGTACAAAGTATTTTCAATGGTGTTGTGTCACGGGAAACCACCAGTACAAAGTGGTCTCTGTACGCTGAAATTAGCGGCCAATCTGGACTTCCGGATGATTTGACCGATGTTTTGTGTCTAGGCATTAGATTCCTGATTTCCTGCCCACGATAATTCTAGCCACGTCTACCCACATATTATTGCAGTCGCACATGGAGAATATCTCATCCTCCTAATGTAGTATTATTATTATGCGGGGAGATGTTCCCAATGCACCTGGGTAGTGTGTTGTAGATTATAGGTGGGGGGAGATCCAAAGTGGAGTATGGCTTCTCATAACTCATTCCACAAACCTGGAAGTAGTTGGACTTTTTCCAAAAAAGAAAACTATTTGAACTACCACATCAGCACTAAGGTGTCAATGGACCGGTTTTGGATTGGACCCCATTCAGTCCAAAATCAATTTGGACGGATTGGATGGACCATCAAGACATTGGATTGGACCAATTCAGTTCAAAATATTTATTAGATTGGATTAGACCTTGTCTGTCCGTAACAAATTTATATTGGATTGGGTTGGATTAAGCCAATATCTGATTCATTGATATAAGATAAGAATACATGTGTCAATGGACCTGGTTTGAGTTGAAACCAATCTAAATCAAAATGAATTTGAACAGGTTGGGCAATCCAGACATTGAATTGGTCTGATCCAAATTGGTCCAAAACATTCATTGGATTGGATTGGACTTGGTCCATTTATAATGGACTCGACCAAATCCAGTCCAATTGACACCCCTAATCAGCGCCATGTCTGAATTCGTTTTTTTTTTTTTTTTTTTACAGAAAATATCTGATGTTTGGTTGGTCATTCTCAGACCAAGTCTTGAAAATTCAGAAAGGTATGATCCGAGGAAACGCACTTTTTTCTTTGAGTGTTTTCTCGTTTTTTCTCAGACCGTGTCTTAGGTGTTTTCCCGTTTTTCTACTGTTGTTATCAACAGTATGATGACATGGAATTGAACGTGGTAGCAACAGAAATGGTATCAAATAGAAAACCCGAAAAAGACATTTTCTGAGAAAACAACATACCTATGCAGCACCATTTTCTAAGAAAACACCTATCAGGAAATGGCATTGGTTCCAAACACTGCCCGAGTTTGAAGTTGTGTGTCAAATCCAACTTTACCGATCAGGAGTAAACATGCCAGTGTTCCATACAGAGTGTGAATTCCACATGATCTGTGTCTGAAAATCTCACTAAGACTGGAAATAGAGGGTGGCATCAAAAGTGCCAATGGGCCTTTTTTGGGCCTCTAACCATCTCGGATGTATTTCCCCAAACCCCTTTTTAAGAACGTCCAGGTCATTAGCCACGGAAAACCCCCGAATAAATAAAAGGCTACTACGTTATTCTTGCTTTATTTATAATCTTGATCATTACATTGTTTTGATGGTATATATAGCTTCCTATGCCGGGGAAAATTGTTAATGGGTTTATTGCAAATCTGTGATAAAAATGAAGCACGGTGCTTCTGATTGTGGTTTGTTATTTGTTCAAAGCTTAGTTTAGCCCAATTCATTCAGTTATGAGATTTTTTTTTCAGTAAGTTCACGGACTAAACTTTATTTTGATTTCTGTACATAATCCCATATTTGATGTGTTTTTATTTTTTTAAATTGAAAAAATCACGAAACTTTTGGGATTGAGAAGCAAAGAGAGGACATAGAATAAAATGATATGGACCTAGAAACAGCAGGGTGCACATGAGGCCCATGTGTCATGCCACGGAGAGCCTACAGTTCCATGAGTTTGATCGCACACCTCCTATTTAGAGGGGTGGCAAGTAAGGATACCAAATGGATTGGTTTTGGGTTGGATTTCTGTAAATCAAAATTAATTTGGATGGACCAATAAAGCACACTGAATTGGACCAGTTTAGACAATGGTCCAAAGTATTTATTCCATTGGATTGGATTGGATCTGATCCATCTACAATGGATTTATATATTGGGTCGGACTGAACCAATATTTGGTCCATTGATAAAAGATAAGAATACAGGTGTCAATGAACCAGGTTTGGGTTTGAACCAATATAAAATAAAACCAATTTAAACAGATTGGATCGGTCCAAAATGCTCCAAGGTACTCATCGGGTTGAATTAGACTTGGTCCACCTGTAATGGACTCAAATTGGACCTGATTGGATTAGACGAAATCCAGTCCAATTGACACCCCTAGTACTGCCAAGCGACCATCTCAACAAATGGATCACTCTTCTTAACCCAACTTTATTTGTTTTTGGAATTCATAATTTTCAAAACCGACCCAATCTTCAAACCAACCAAACTTGAATACCATTTTTTGGGGTTGGGTTTAGTTTAAGTTGATCAAGGTTGGCCTGACCCAAGTTGCTCCCCTACTCATTCTGTGTGTGATTAATTTCTGTGACCAGTACCCATTTAGGCGGCATTCAGTAGTGTGGTGAAACCACGATATAGTGGGTTTTATTATTATTATTATTATTATTATTATTATTATTATTATTATTATTATTATTATTTCACATAATATTTGTTTACTTATTCGTCTTGTATGTAATTAATAATGCTTATTTTATCATTCCAATTATGATTACATTGGATACTAAAAGTAGAAATTTTACCTTTTTATGTTTTTACTAATATTAATATTTATAGATTAATTTTTTAATAATTATTTATCATTAATATTAGTTCTCTTATGTATGTGTTTTATATTTTATATTACTTTTAATTTTTTAATCATTACTATTATTTTTAATTCAGCCCATATTTTTTTAATAATTCGTGCTAGCCATGGTTAAAAATTGACCGCATGCATGTTAAATTAATTCGTATTATTAATTTGTATTTTTCTTAAAATACAAAAAAAAAACCCTTGATCAATGATGTAGATTATCTCACATGATTTATATGAGATACATGGAATCAAAATACAATGTATGGCCTAAACCACACCACACCCTATAGAACGCACTACCCATTTTTTACCACTATACAAAATGCCTGTTCTGGCATACCATGGTGTGCTCTCAATCACGCTGCACCTGTGTTGTGGTTTAAAACATACCACCCAATTTCTCAACCACACTACAGAACACCCCATTAGTTTCGAAAATCCAACTAATGTTTGTTTAAGACAATAATTGTCATAATTTGATCTTCATATCTTGTGAACACCTACTCTCAGTGACCAATACCCGTTTGGGTGGGTCTTCAAAGTCCCATTCATACATCCATATCAACAACATTGCTCAAAATCAAATTAGCTGCTCTACCAAACGCCCTCCGCTAAGTGACATGGGTTCAACGAGAACAATCCTAGGAAAGCTCCATTCATACATCCAACTGGTCCCTATATAGTAAATATGGTTTACATGGTCAAAGAATGATAAATCAATTCACTGACAAGCCCAAAAATGCTTCATTTCCTACACACAGTAGCTTTTTATCTGCATAGATTTTGAACCCTCAATACATGCAGCTCAAGTGCTCCACAAGAGCAATTATCGTGTACCTGAAATGTCCTGATATATATAGACTTGATAGCAAGGTTCAAAGTATATAAGTATACATGTATTATAGAGTATGGTATGGTACAATAATTAGTTTTGAGGGTCATCAATGTACCAAATAAAAAGTGTTGGGTGAATTTAATTATTGTAAATGTCAGTTATTGATGTGACGTGACCCACTGTCCTAGAAACCAAAATAAATTTGGGGTTTTTACTGCTCAGTCCATCCCAAAAATCTTAGTTCCATGAAATTGTTGTAAGTCTACAGTTGAATTCAGAATTCTGAGATAGAGTGCAGTCAACTTATCCCTTTAGAGTACGAAAGCTTTGATCATAAAATTTTAGCTCCCTTAGGTTGCATTTAGTTGTAATGCAAATAAATTTGCACCGATGAAGGAAATTAAGACATGATTCGAATGTAAATTCTGGCCTATTTTATTTCAAATTTTAACTTATTTTATTTGATTGCAGTACAAATGAAGGAAATTAAGACATGAAATGGAATAAAATAAAACCCAAAATAAAATTAAACGAGAATTTACATTTTTTTTTGTTTTATTTACACTCCCATGCATTTGTACTAGTGTTAATAAAATTGCACTGCAACCAAACACAGCCTTAGGGTCAAATTCTATTCCTGAGGAGATAAGATTAGTGAATCTCATTAATAGTTCAATAGGATGTAGAACCAATAATAATACTCCACATCAGTCATAATGGGAGATCACATCTGCACCCCATAAACGTCTTGCGGCAAGATCTAGCAGGCACAATATAATAAGCACGTTCAATAGTATCCAGTGCACGTTCAATGGGCACTGGATAAATATTCAAACAAGTGTCAAAAGTGGTTTTTAATTTTTTTCAATAGTATGCTGGGGGAATATTAAGGAACAAGTGTAAAAAAAAAATTATAAATATTTATTGAATGTGCTTACAATTTTGTACTTACCTGATCCGAACTACAAACACCCCACATGCACATCGCAACGCATTAAAAACATCTCCCAAAATTATCAATGAGAGGTACTCCCAGTACATGATTGGAATATGTTGTGGGGCGATTGTGGAATGTGAATTCTGACAATTAAATCTCACTGTGGGCCCCTATATGTTTTATCGCTGGCATATGGGACATTATCAATGAGCCAAATAAGAAAATCAAATTGGATGATTTTAATTATTAGACATATAATAGGAGTTACATGTGAGATATCAAGCCAAAGTATATGCTTTATACAATATGGACACCAGCAAACTTCAAAGTATGAATATGTATCTTACTATCGTACAATAATTAGTTTTGAGGGCCATCAATGTGCCAAATGGAGAGTGGGGCGAGTTTAATTGTTGTAAATGTCAGTCACTGATGTGACATGTTCGTTGTGTATTACCAAATCAAAATGTTTTAAAAATTAATATCAGTTTGTTTGAAAATGTTCGTTGTGTATTGTTAACATCAGTTTGGTTGCATGCCGAGAGATGTTATGGTGATTGAATACTTGGGTTATGTTTGGTTTGGTTTGAAGGAAAAGGAAAAGGTAGAAAAACCTTATATAAGGTTTGTAAAGGTTTTCTTACCTTTTCCTTCCTTTTTTTTTATTTTTTCTTTCAAATCAAATACAGCTTTAAGTGTGGTTGGGTTTCTGAAATCATGGTTTAGAAACTGAGTCATATGGTTGGACAGATTGGCCTGGGAATCAGTTATGGGTTCGGGTCTGGTTTTTCCCCTTTAATAAATAAATAAAGGAGCCAAAATAAACAAGAAAGAAAAGGAAATGAAATGAAAATTAGAGAGGTCACACAATCTTTTATATTTGATTTAGATCGCTTTAATTTAAATGACTTATAAGATATGAAATCAAAATTTCTTAAATTTAACTTTCCCTCCCATTTCCACTCAAAGCCAAAAGCTTCTGGCTCCGGCCTTGTTTTCTCTGAAGGCAGCTTTACATTCATGGCCCATCAAGAACATATATATAGATCTTTAGGTTTGTTTAAAAATCCAACAAGAACACAATCATGCATGAGCTTTGAGATGGAGGATGGAGGCCAATGGACCTGGTACATTGTCTGTTCGGGACCCATTGTTTAATTAAAAAAGAAAAGCCAGCAGAAACAAATTAAGTCAGCCCAAGTTGATGTACCCACCTGACCTGATTTCTACGTACCTGCAGCTGCAGTGAGAAGCTAATCGTAGCCTTTTATTTCTCTGAGTAGTAATTCAGTGTAGACAAGGAGATGAGATGACGAGATTCTGAAAACTTGGCCTACAGACATAAGGACCCATGAAAGAAAACAAAATAGAAAGAAAAGAAAGACTGAAGAGATATAAGTCCTTTTAACATGTTTGTCATATGGTGAATAGTTTTATGACATTTTGACACTTTGAGAAGATGAGGCCAACGGACTTGACGACCCTACTGGTGATGAACTGAGATGTGAACGAATAATAAATTTAAACGTGCTTTTAAGACTCTGAAATCTGAATCCAAACCAGAATCTGCTCTGCTACACGCCTTTCTTTTCTTCTCTTTTAAATTCTTTTCAAATCCGTGAGGTTGAAGGCACCAACACAATCACAAGCGCGTGACATGATCGACATGGTGTATGGTGACTGTGTTTGGTCAAACATTTCCAGGAGAACAGTGAATGATTCTCATTCCTCCAATTTGACACACAGACAGACAGAGAGAGAGAGGATAATGTTAGTTTTTCACTGCAGGGTATTGAGCTATATCTATCTGTTTATTCTTTTTTTTTTTTTTTTTTCATTCTCATCTCCTTCCACCAACAAATGCAATTATGTTATAGAAGACCCAGTAATCAGAATGATCAGAAAATTTCAAAAGGAGAATGTAGAGGAACCCTTTTTTTGCTGAGAAGAATATAGGGGAACTTTGAGATCACATTTAGGTCTCACAGACCGCGCCCCACAGTATATCTCAACCGTGTATTGAAAACATCTCCCAATAGATGAGTACTAGAGATGTCAATTGAAACACTTTTAATGCTGAGTAGCTCAATGTAGTAGTAGGTCATCCTATGATCTTGATCTTCTGGCTGGGTGGATTCACTACTCACAAAATTGTGTTCAAACCATTCTTACAGTGTTTTCAACGTACATTGGGAAAATCTCCATATTTGTTTTTTTTTTTTGACCCAATTACCAAGATTGGCGTTGTAATTTGGTTGCTTGCGGATTATGTTGATACTCATGTAAATTCTCTGTTACGGCTAATAAACAACCCTAAATCTAATATATTATTAAAAAATATCCTTCATTATATTTTATTACTTTGTGCGTTGGAATGTCAAACTACATATATATACTAGCGGGGATCCGTGCAATGCACGGGATTTGTTAAATGAAAGTTAAATAATAAAAAACACATAAGAGTATACAATTATTTTATATTTTTAACTTTTAAAATAATTAATAATTATTTGTATTTTATATACTACTTTTAATAATTTTTTACAATACAAAAATAATAATTAATTTTAAGGTTATTCATCAAATTGATGAACCCAACCAACTTGACCCGAGTTGGTCGATTTTCTAGTATTTTCGATCACCTTTGGTTCCACAATTTCCCAACCCGACCAATTTGTATCAGTTTTGCTTTAGCCATTTGTAAATCAACCAAAATGGAATGGTTAAACCATAATATATTTGCTTTATATTTTTAATATAATATAGGTGGCACATCTTCTTGCCAAGCAAGGGGTGCATAGTAATCAATTATTCTGGGCTTGGTTGTAATTTTGCTTTGTTTTTTGAGGTAGCATAGGATCTCTATTATGTAATTTTTGTTGGTTGATATTAATCATTCTTAATAAATCACTTTATTACTTATCAAAAAATAAATATATAATAAATATGTATTAAGATTTTAAAATTATTATAATAAATATTAATTTTTTTGAAAGTTATTTTCTAGAATTATTAATTGATATAAGTGAAATTAGTTACATAATCATGTTATTAATTTTGTAAAATATTAAATTATTATTAATTTGAATATTATGTTATAATTATTTTTATACTTTTAAGAATTTTTAAATCTATTACATAATTTCATTATTTTAATTATTTAGAACCTAGTTATTGTTAAATATTTCATTATTTAAAATATTAAGTTATTTAAATATATAAATAATATATAAAATATTTCATAATTTTCATTATTTGAATTTTATTTATTTTAAAGTTATTATATAATATTAAATACTTTGTTATATAATTATTTAGCTATTTTCTATATTTGTCGTTTAAGATATTTAGTTATTGAAATATTTAAATAATGCTTTATTTTTAATGTTATTTTTTATTATTTGAATTACATTTAAATTGAATAATCTGAAAAATCATAATTTATATTATTAGTACATAATTTTGTGATGAATTTTGTAAAACTACAAAATTATTAATAATATGAATATTATTAAATATATTATAATTATTTTTTGTGTTTTTAATAAATATTTTAAAGTTATTATATAATTTCTTTAGAATATTTAAATAATTTTTAAAATTTTTAATTAAACTTTCTTTAGATAGATATTAGATAAAAAGTGGGGGAGAGGATAAATAGGAATAAGAGATAATTTAGGAGAAAGTGGGGAACCTTGGGGGAGGTAGTTTAGGAGAAATTTTAGGAAAGGGTATTATTTAGGTTATTGGGAAGGTGTGGGAAGGAGAGAGAGAGAGAGAGAGAGAGAGAAAATAGCTAAGAAAATAAATATGATCTTTTAATACAATATGTTTTTTTTTTTTTTTATAATTTAAATAGAAGGGAATGGCAAAACAAGATTCATGTAGCTGACCCATATGACTGGGATAAGGCTTAGTTGATGATAATGGTAATGGTGATGAAGAAATATTATCTTCTAAGGCACCACACCAAAACATTTACTGATAATTTTCCCTGCTGATCAAACCAAATCTGCATATATTGATATCATGTCTTGATAGCTTAAACACCAAAATGTTTAAGTTCCACTATCACTCATAAGCTGTGCTATGGAACCTTTTGATGGTGGAAACATTGAGAATTTTCAGTAGAGTTGGGTTGCTAGTGCACCTAGGAGCTTTGAACTGGCTCAATGATGCCCCACCCCCTACAAAGAGATCCAACATCTTCCTAAATGTACCCCTTTCCACAATGCAGAGCTCTAAGGGCCCAATTGAATTCGTCCTCCTAGACGTAACATACCCATAATCAACGAAGGATGTGTCCATCTCCGTGCAACACTGCTCAAGAACACCTTCATCCACTTCACCCTTGATTTCCCAGTAAATTATGTAGTGTCCAGGTTGATCGGAGATGTCGGCATGGCTTGTAAAATCGACTAATTCAGCTCTTGTCTGCCTCAGCAGCTGAGACCCCCTCTCTACCACCAGTTGAAGGTCCTTTTCTGTATTTTTGTCAATATTTATGCATAGGATCAGCTTTCTTCTGCAAATGAAGTTCAATTTGGGGGTTCCTTTATAAAAACCAGCCACCTCCACCACATCCCCTAACCTGTATCTGTATAGTCCTGAAACAAAGTAAGAGTGAAGAGAATTGGGTAATGAAACATATATATTGTGTTCTAACAGAGTCTCAACACAGCACAGAGTACACCATAATTAATCATGACCACCTGGTTCTGAAGAGGGAGGTGACAATATGTAGAATCCATTACGTATCTTCCCTAATAGTAACCTTCTTTTCTTTCTTGAAAGGAGATTAACAAAGAACTTTTAAGAAAATTAAATGATCATCCAAGATTTATGTTGTTTATGCATCACAAGACTGTTCGCTTCAGTATGGCTGATACATTGATGATTGATGGAAGGTGAAGAAATATAAGGGCGAGGACAACACATTTGAGTACACTTCTCAACAGTGAGAGAAGTAGTTAGGTCCAGGATGTTTGTACCTCTAGTTTTCCTCTTGTCCAATCTGTGTTTTGGAAGAGAACAAAGACATTGAATACACCGCTCAATAGTGAGAACTATTAAAGAATTAGGTCCAGTATGAATATTGTACCTCCAGTTTTCCTCTTGACCAATCTGTGTTTAGAAGAGTACCATTGAGTGAAATTTGATGGGTTGAATTCCAATTTGCCTAGAAAGCATCTTAGTTGGACTAGCCTAAGGCTATTATATGCAATTATTGGGAAAAAATATAAATTAATATTATATAATTAATCAAATTAGTTAACTTTTATGACCATATCTGTTTTATATAATACTAGTGAAAGAGCACGCTGCGTAAGAAAGTATTAACCATATTGATATATAGTATTTATATTTAATTTTTATGACCTACACAAAACCCAAGGCAAGTATATGCTTTATATAGTAATAGATAATGTTTACAAGTTAATGACCATGATCCTAATATGATTATGATGCCTCCTATTTTCAGCTTATCATAGTAGTGTTTCATTAATAAACTCAAAGATGCTACTAGTCTTCCTAACATTTGGTTAATAGACAGGGATACGAAAGGGCATATTGTCCTAACTCATCTTGTTTGCTTCTTCTCATTTTGTCTTTTGATGATTTATTATTTTTGTTATTACCGGTGTCATTGTTGTTGAGTCCAACCATCCAACCACGCAATGAAGCTCACTTTCTTCCATGTTAGAAGGAAAGGATAATTAACTAGCACGAAGTCATTAGAATTAAACTAGTTGATATAGTTTAACTAATAATTTAAATTTAGAACACAAGAAGAATAGAAACTTTGGCACAACTCTAATTTTTTATCCCTCTGGTGAAACAGAATTAAATTTTATTTTATTTATTTGAGATGAACTAATAATTAAACTAATGTAGAATATTACGATATATAAGCCATCCACTGCAACTTAAAAGATTCATAGAAGTATAATTAAGCTATGGAGCACCTTTAAGTAACAAATTAAAAATATAGAAAAATACCAACAAGAAATTGGTTATACATACCTTGGGTTTTCTTTTCCAAATCAATAGAATGATCAACCAGCGATTACAACTCCCAGAAGAATAATTGTTAAAAGAATATATATATAATATAGGAGAACTGCATACAAGATAATACAACTTCAAGAATTTTAATTTGTCAAATAAATTGGACTTTGAATTTGAATTTTGTAACCTGATTGAAGTTGGAAACGAGATCAGCTTCCATCAGGGCAAACCTGTGCCCACACCATTTTAACAGCTTTTCCCAACCTTGCATTGGGAATATCTCCCCATGAAATAAAGCATATAAGTATGGAGATGTTTTCAATGCAAGACAGTAAAGACTACTTAAACAGGCTTTGCCCTGACTGAAACCGAACTCGTTGGAAGCACCTCATACAAATTAAATCACATTTTGTTTTACAACTGATGGACTGGTTGAATTATTTGTTTAGACAAAACTGCTTGACTTCTATAAACTGAAGGTTTCATGTTATGCAGACCAACCTCATTATTTCAGTGTGATCTAATTCAGAATCTTAGTAAATGGAAAAAGAAAACAAAGAAGATGATAATAGTTTTCATTGGTTAATTAGGGAAGTTTTTTGCCTTTTACAAAGAATGATGTATATCAGCTCTTATAAGTTTCTACTTTTATTAAAAAAAAAAGCCCCCAATATAGTTCAAATATATATATATGGAAAGGCTTTTAGGCTGATTTTGTAGCATGAATATAGGATGGAATCAAGGTAATTAGATGGAATGCTTTATCTGTCTATCTATTATGGTATTCTTATCTCCAACCCATAAAAACCCCATCCGTCATCACTAGGGCCGCATGTCGAAAACATTTCCCATTCAAGGGGAGCTGTTCCTCAGTGGATAGGTGTGGGAAAGATTCTTGTGGATAGGAGATCTAGATTGATATAGATCTTTCATCAAGACGCTGGCCACAACTCCTATGGCCATCAAAACTATATATATATTTCGATATGCAGGATTGGTTAAGGCTGTCAATGGTCCTGATCAACCTGACAGACCAACTGACCTGACACTGATACAGTTACTCAGATTTGAATCCCGAGTTACATGACATACATATACATATAATACTTATGGTTGAGTCCTATTTATAGCCATTAACATTTCATACATGTTTCTCATGATTTATCTGTAATAGTTTATATAAGCTACATGAGGAATTGTTTTGATAGCACCTGAAGTGATTGAGCCAAATGACTTACTGCTTTGTCTTTCAATAATTAATTTATTAAGGAGGTTGTGAGATCCTCAAAAATCTTCTTATTTGATTGCATTTTATGCATAAAAGACAAAACGCTATTAAATCATTCGATTCAACCACATCAATCGTTACCAAACGGCCTCCAATGATTATTTAATGGGGATACACAAGATACACTGAGAGGCTGAGAGGAGAGTGCAAGAGAATCAGAAAGCTTATTGTCAAATCTAAAATTATCAGAAAAAAAATATTTGTCGGTTATAATTGGGTTAGACCCAAGAATCCTATATTTTTTTTTTCTTGATTTAGCACTCTCAGACCCCGGCAGTAGGATCTGGGGGGGGGATCTGGGTCATAGTCAGGTTTATACATTTTCTTTTCGGTGTGCGATTAGGTTTACACTGATCGAACCCCAAGGCGACCCATCTAGAGATCCAAGAGTTCTGTATCACATTGTAGTGCTGGTGCTGAATGAAATGCCTTAGCTTTAACATGTTTAACTCCGGAAAATTTTATCCACAAGAAAATCTAAAAATTTTTTGTATCACCAAGATTTGTGTAACTTCTGTATATGATTTGAAGTCGATGGTTGTCGAAACCGTCTTTGTTCACTTTTTCTATTTTTCTTAGCGTGAAATTCTATAGCAGATCAACTAATTAGATGGTTTACTTTAATGAAACAAGAGAGGTTCAGAGAGAGAGAGAGAAAGAGAGAGAGAGACCTGTAAAAGTGGTGAGGACGACCTCATATTCCTGCCCGACAGTAACTTGAGAGAGCGGCACCGGCTCAGCTTCTATAAAGTCATCAATGGCCGAAGTGCTTCCTGGGTTCTGTCTATAAAGAGGCATAAACTCAAAGTAAGAGAAGGTGGGGATTACTGCAAAAGTAATATTTTCTGGAGGAAAAGAAGGATCAATATTAACCCCAATCCAACTCTCGGTGGACCCATAATCAGCACTCACTATAGGCAAATCCCCAGAGTAATGCCTTAATTTTTTCAAGTAAGGTAGCATTGTTCCCGTCATTATGGAGTAAACATACTTTCCACTTGGCCAAAGCTTAGGAATCACAGAGAACCATTGGAAGGCTTCTAACTCTTTGCATTTCTTTTCAATCGTTGAAGCTAGAGATGGGTTGGGTAGGAGAAGCTCCAACACAGCATTTCTCATGCTTGATGATGTGATTCTTGGATTCAGAGTACCTTCCTTGATGTCGTTACATATGTCCTTCCAGATTTCTTCAAAGGTTGTAAATGCATGCACTAGGCTGTAAGCAAATGTGGAGGTGATGAACTCCACTTGATCAAAGTAAATAAGGCCAAGGAGGAGATGGCAGTATGTTGCTTGTTTATAGTCCCCACCTGATATTACTTCCTTTGGACTGCAAGTAAATGAATTTGTTTGCTTCTGTTTGATCTTAAACTCTTCACTTGCATAGTAGTGAGTGGTGGCAGTTGCTGCTGTTAAGCCTCCCTTTGTTTTGAACTGTTTGCTGCTGTAAATGAATTCAAGGATCCTCCGTCTGGGTCTTATTGGATAAACCCTTCAAGCAAATTAAAGAGAAGAAGAATTACAAGACAAAAAAGAAGGAAGAGAGAAAATATTATTCAAACAAAGAAGAGCAGTAGTGAACCCAAATCGATTCATTCATTATGTATCCTGATTACGAGGTAGAGTTCCTAATTAAAATAATGGTGTTGAAGTTGACAAAATTAACACAGAAGGGAGGGGGCTTCTTTTAACGCTAGGGTTTCTGATTGCAGACCTTGATCTGTAAGCGGCTGACAACCTGAATATCTGAAGAGTAGTCTGCGCGCTATGGCTAGTGAAGGGCGCGTACTTTTGTCTTCCTTCTGTGGTTCCCGAACTATAACAAATTCCATTCAACAAACAGCAGTGAGGAAGAGTGAAGCATTCTAAGATGAATGAAATAATATTTTTTTTTTCTACATGTCGCTTAAAAAATTCTTGGATCAGGACTAAAACAGTAAAGTTTTCACATTCGGATGGCTTGTTTAGTTGTTGCCCGGACAAGGAGAAAACTCTAAACCTACAAAGGCTACAAACCCACTTTATTCATTGTTCTGTCTTGAAAGTTCAAACCAGGCCACGTGATAGAATAATAACAATAAAGTGTAGGATAAGTGATCAACCCAAAATATAAACAAAGAAAAAAGAAAAAGAAGGAACGAGAAAAGAGTTACCAGACTTTTTTTGCTTTTTTTATTATTTTGTGAAAACAATGACCTACCTTAAGGAGAGTTTCGTGATGGGTTCTTGAGTGAGGATTGGAGATGAATCCCCATCTGCAATTCTCTGGATGTAAGGCTCTAAATCTGCATGGGAAGCAAGAGGGACTAAAGTGGTATAGAGAGACTCCAAATCTTTTGATTCCATGTCTTGGATTTTGATATTTCCCAACCATCTCTTCAGATATTCCGTGTTAAAATTCAGTTCGATAATTCGTCGAAGTGTTTGGGTCTGCACAAAGCTTGCATTCTCTGCTACCTCTTCGAACCACCTGATAATGTCGTAGTCTTGATGGCCATTATCATTTGGAACTGGTTCCATACGCGTGATGCTGGAATGGAGGATAGGAGATGGAGAAAGGAAATGGTATACCAGTAACCAGCTCTCTCTCTCTGCTAGGGAGATGGGACTGCTTTATGCATCTCAAACGCTCTCACATATACATCTCCCTCCATCACAGTAGTAAGGATATCATGTAGACCACAAGTTGTAGTGTCTAGAGGGTACGTAGGTCTGACAGTGACCAAACAGTTGGCCTCATTTTGATGTATTTGCAAAAACATACAAAATGAGTTAATGTTTTCATTAGTATTTTGAACCAGGATGGGACCATTGAGTGATATCCCTCGTGATCCTGTCTGTAAATTAGACTGACATTAGTAAGGAGGGTCTTGACTTGCAATTCATACTTAACATTCCTTCTTCATGTTGTAGAAAACAGTGAAGAAAACATTAATTAAGCAGGCCTAACACAAAATCCATATCCCCCACCAAGTTATCAGCTCTACGCAAATAAAAAAGACCCTACAGAAATTAATATACCTTTAATTTCACTCCACTGCTACGATTGCAACTGGGGCTGGGTTGGGTCAGGTTGGGGTCAACCTAAGCCCAACCCAAGGAAATAATGGTACTTCAACCCTAACACAACCCGACCTGACAAGAATTAACTCAAGCTGAGAAACCTAATTTCATACAGAGGTTATGCAGGTCAAAAATCTGATTGTTGTTTTTGTAACATGACTTATTTAGCATGAACCCGAGCCCTCAATGCTAACCCAACATCCTAGATCGGGTTAGGTTAAACCCAGTTTATGTAGATCCCAACCCAATTCATGTTGACACATGCTAAGTTGCACCCCTCCTGTTCACTATCCAACCACTGATCAGTCTCAGTTACTTTCCTTCACAATTGTGTAGATCCTTCATTTTCCATGAAGTTTCTATACTTCTATGCAATCATCTGTTTCTAGATATTCACAGTAAACACAACACTTTCCCTGCTTTATTACCCAATCCTCAGCTACCAAAACTGACACACTGCCAATGAATTTAGACTTTTTATGATTGACCGTCCAGAGACGTCAGGAGCGATGTAACTTTTTAACTGAAACGACCAACATGTCATTGACTATCATTTTCCACTAATTTAATACTAAGTTCTTTCAAAGAAATTAATAATTAAATAGACAGACAGAGAGGGGGGTCTGAATAATTAATTAACCATGGGTCTTAGTAAATAATGTACATATGAGAACAAAACAATGGTCATGAATTTGATGTTTGATGTTTATTTTCTAGTCTGCACTCTGCAGTGGCTACGAGCTGTTCTTAGTTTTGCACAATCATATATTATAGTTATATCAGAAGTATACCGTTTAATTAGGTAAAATTAAAACAATGTCAAGACAACTAGATAACAACCGTTGTGTCTATGCTGCAGTATCATCTAAAAGCACTTGATGCAATTAATTGTTTTCTGATTTCTCAAGGACTGTTTTGCCTAATCCCATTTAATAGCTATACTAATTAAGCTGAAATGGAGGACCTCATAATCTTTTGTTATTGTTGTTTGAAAATTATACATTATATCATAGTTATCCACCATAGAATCTTTAGCAAAAGGGTGGAGTTCAGAATTTGAAAAGAAGAGAGACGGCAATCAACAACAAACTCATCTGTACGTGGAAGGCTTAAAAACAGCCATTCTTTTGTGTGTGTAAATGGTTGGGCACAGCTTGAAACAATTAATTGTGACCTGAATTTTTTTTTTTCTGGTTGTTGTGTTCTAGTTCCTTGTTGAGAACTATTTGGCTTATTATTATTATTATTATCATTTGATAGCTTTATTGTTTTTTAAGTTTGATACATTAAATCATAGTTATTACAAAAGAATTCAGAATTAGAGGAGGAAGAGAGAGAGATGGGAAGATTATAAATAATAGCATTAAATGTGATATTAACTTTACAAAAAGGACAATTACTACAGTAATAAATAAAATGGTACTTAATGTTCTGCTTCCTTTAAGAGAAAATTATTATGGGGAATAAAAAAATATACTACAAAATTGGAAGGGCGAGACTGTCCTTGAGAAATTTTTTTTTTTTTGAGAAAGCCCCAAGGGCAATTCCATGTATATGGTAATCATATATCCAGTTCTAGGGGTGGCACTTGAGCGGGTTGGATTGGATTTGGTTTGGGTTGAGTTTCAACCCAATCCATCTAACCCGCCAATCCATTAATAGCCCAGTTATATAAAATTAAATGGGTTGGGTTCAATCAAAACCCGCTTTAACCCAATCCAACCCGCCCAAACCTATTAATCTTATATTTATGGACTTCAAAAACAAACTCTCTCTCTCTTAACAAATAAGTTGGTTATAGTTTGGTGGTTATTGTAGTTATTATTTACATAAGTGGTGAAGGTTCAAATCACATTACATGCATGTTATTTTTACACTAGCGGCGAAGCTGTTTGACTATGTCCTGATTCCAGGTTTGACCGAACCACTTAGGTTCAAACCGGTCAGACCAACTTAAACCACTTAGGTTCAAGGGTGATTGAATTGTTTAGATCTGGATCAATTCGGTCAGACTGGACCAGTTCAATCAATGGTGGATTGACTTGGATCGGACCATATCAGGTTTGTGCACGGGTTCGGGATCGGACTAACTGACCCGAACCGGGTCAATGCATCTAAATCGGGTCGGGCCGTATGGACATTGGTCCGATGGACTGTCTAGATTAGGTAAAAGCACGCGAAGGCCGAATCATCCCGCCCAAAACCGTTTCAGATTTGGGTCAACCCGTATCGACTTGTATTGGGTCGGGTCGGAGTGTGTGAATATTGGTTGGACCAAATGGCCCAAATCAGACAGAGCAAGTGACAGCGAACCATCCCGCCCGAGGTCTGTTTCGGTTCGGGTCGACCCGGATCAATATATATTGGATCGGGTCAAACTGCAATGAACTAGTCCAGACTCGGGTCAAATTGATTTGGATTTATGTTGGGTGAAGTGTATTGGTTCAAGACAAAACTAAATTTAGTCAATTATTAATAGAAAATTAATACATTAATTATAAATTATTTAATTCAAATGAAGAAAATTAAAAAGAAAGGCTAAAGAATTAATACTTATGTCTATGATTAACCCAATAGTTATCCACAACCCAACCCATTTAAATGGGTGGATTAGGTGATGGGTTGATCACACAACCCACCAAGTAAATTGGCAGGTTAGGTGGGTTAGATACTAGGTAGGTTGGATGAATTCAGTGGATTGGATTAAAAATTGCCACCCCATCCGGTTCCCCTCTTAAATTTGCATTTGGTAAATGTCATTCTCATTTCCATCTTTCCCTAGCTAATGCTTCTTATCTTATTATTAATAGATATAATTACTCTAATTTGAGGGTGGGCCTTGGCATAATGGTTCGGTTGTTCCATTGCGACCTGGATGATCAAGGTCCAAGTCTTAAAACCAGCCTCTCTAACATGCAAGGGTAAGGCTTTGTATATATGCCCCTTTCCGGACCCCCACGTTAGCGGGAGCCTCGTGCATTGGGTTGCCCTTTTTTATTATTCTGAGTTCCTGATTTAAAAATATATATATATATATATATATATATAAATGAAAAGAAAAGGCAAAAAGAAAGCACTTAAGGAAAAACAAAATGGGTTATAAAGCTTTCTTGGGGAGGGTTTAATTTCACTACTCTAATTATCTCAAAAAGCATTTTGACCAAAGGACCATTTCATCCATCCAATCTAGCCAGTACTATAAAAGCACACATGAATAGGTTATATCAGAAAGAAGAGTTAGAACATTGTAGGTAGACCAGATTTCCAAATGCATTCATTCATCACAGAAACATGTATGGGGCTGCATGAGGGACCATTACCGTCTAATATTATAGCAGCAGGTATGGGGCTGCATGCACAAAAATTTGAGATAAGTGGGGTAAGATGGAAATTGCGAGCTTAGGGATAAAATTGCTAGAGTTTCTCATGGTCATTTCGTCATGAACTAATAATGCATGGAACCGAACAAGTAAATACACAGGCTCCAGTTGTTGCATGTCTGCCATTTCATCAGCTGCATGCATGCATGGCTGCATCATCTATTTAAGTCAGTTGTAGGTAAGGTAAAGGCCAAAGAATCGACCTAGAGGTTACCACCTGTTTTAAGTGGTGTAATTAGATGTATCGCTGTAATGAATCCTTCCCGGTTAACAATGGAACATACACAGTGTATCAATGGGGACCCATGCAGCCTGCTGCATCTTTGCCTGTAGGCCAAGAGAAAAAGAAGCTTTTCCGTTCCAGCATTGGATTCGGGTCCCATCCCATCAGACAGGTTCAATGCATCTATTGATTGAACCTGTCACACATGGCGGGGGTTCTGCTCTGTGAGCAGTGAAGCTTTGACATGTATCGAATAAACTTCGTGCCAATTGTTAGCTTACCGACACTTCCTCTTTGTCTTTCTCCCTTGCACAACCAAGCGCCGCCGGCTTTGGCAAGCAGCGAGAGAGACAGAAGAGAGGAGAGTCCAGATGCCACCGGCCGGAGAGAAAAGATCAGATCAGTCTTGCAAAGTAAATTGCATTTCAGGTAGATGTGATGAGCAAGCTTGTTATGCAATCTAAGGGAGACAGTGTTGAAGGTTCATGGACCCGTACTTAGATGAAGATCGATGAAATGAACCGTCTTCTTAGCGGAAGCAACCCTTTAATTTCCATCGACATACGTAGAAGTCGGAAACAGTTCCACTGAAATCCTGCAGCAGCGTTGAATGAGATTGCCAGTTTGCCACCTCCTCTCCTCCACGAATCCTGCTGCAGAGATTATCCGATGAACGCTCCGCAGATCGAAGAGCCTCTTCGTCGTATTCGTCCACAGTGTTAACGTGCTCTAATAATGTCACTGATGCTGGATCGAGCTTAATGGGAGGGAAAGAGTACCGTGACATTTGGCTCAGAAGTCACGAATCGCTGTTGGCCTCTTGGCCGGCAGCCGGCAGGGGTTGAACTTGAGGAGTGAGAAATTTTCCTTTTAATTCTGAAATATATATATATATATATATATATATATATATATATATAATTTAAGAATGAAATAAACGGTAAACCCTTCGTGGGATTTATCACACGAGGGATTATACAGAGAGACGT